TATTGTTGCTTTTTATCCGATTTTATTCTTTTCGATATCCATGGGTTCTTGTCTTTTTCTTTGCATTTTCTATTTTTTTATTTTTTTCTCGCACATCTTTCTCCCTGCATTTCTTCTTCTTCTTCTTCTTTTCTCCCTGCTTTTTATCAGGTCACGTCGTCTCGGTCCTCTTTTTTCATGTTGTAATTGACAAGAGATATGATAACATATCATATTTTGCATTTCAGTTTTTTCTTCTTCTCGGGTTCTGTTATCACACTCAGGCTTGATTGTCAGGTTCTTATTCGTTCATTCTGCGCTTTATCGCTTTTCCAATTATGTCATGGGTATCATGGTCATTTACGGTCAGCATTCTCAAACGCTTGGGGTTTAAAACGGTGCCAAGAACGGAACAAGACAATTTTTTTTATTAGCATTAGCATTAGCATTAAGAGTCTGTAAAGAGTTTTCAATAACACATGATGCAAGCACTTACTTCCAAGCTATTCTCTCTCGGCTTGCATTCCAGATTCCGGTCCACAATGGGTACATATTCATGATTTCGCATGCGGAGAATATCAATGTAATTTAGTGATATTGACAGACAGGCTGTAATTTCGGCACATAATCTTAGCACATCTGTGCAAGGATGAGTTGAGAAAACAGTACCACGTTGCGTACAACGGAATTACAATTACACTACCCGTACTCTGTACTTTTCCTTCTTGGTCGTCTCATACATACACTACAGTACATAGAACTTGATCACGAGGAGGTCTTTAGTCCAGGGTCTCCATACGAGGAACCACCCCTGCCACTATGACCGCTGTCAACCAACCCTTGTGTCGGTAGTTGGTAATCCTTGCAAGACTGTTCCGTTCGGTTAGCGGGAGGCATGACACAGTACCGATCCAAGGTTTATACTACGGACAGAGCATGGTCTGGATCCAGAGCCCATCATTTCTTGTCTCTCCCACCACGATCCTTCATGCATTGAGGTGCATGGTTGTAACTGCAAGCCCCTCAAAGATAGGGCGGTCTGGCGCTGGGATCGTCCATCTGAATCGTATGATCGTATCTAGATAACGAGTTTTGAGGCATGGCATTGTGAATTAGGTTCGTTTCGTGGTCGGGGGGAGTCGATGAAGCAGGGGGGGCCACTGCAGATCTCTCTCGCTTTGACCTCTTGTTCGGGAGCCCGGTCAAGCTGATGCCGATTACGACCGACAAGTCTGCGGAGTCGAAAGTTAATTAGAACCCTGATCCTATGAGGGAGGGCCTCAACTATTTTAGGTAGGCAGGCCTAGGCCCTGGGAAACGAGGCTGGCGGAGGATGAGTTCCTTGCGACGAACGGAGCAGCCGAAGGTTACAGTTGTACTGTATGAAAATAGTCTACTGCGAAAGGATTGTCGCCTCATCTGATATGTCAATTCCTGAGAAATCCCTTGCATCGACATGACTTGTCTCTAGGTTTCCGATTAAGGGAAGTAAGTTGAACGGGAGGAGCCCGGGTGTCTTAATTCCCGATGCGTGTGACATGTTTTGTTTGGTCCAAGACATGCCAAGGTATGTACTACTACACTATCCGGTGAGATCCCCATACCGGTCTGTAAAGTTGAAATTGTCTATCTTGGCTCTCGACGTCATGTGCATGATGTATCTTGATACATTTAATACATACAGAGTAGACGATGGGGAATAAATCTATGTACTGCGTAGGATTCTATCCCGTGCATGGAAGAGGTTAGCATAGATAATTCCTTTTTTTTTTTTTTTTTGCCCTATCTATATTACATCTGACTTATTACTATATATCTCCCTGCAGGTTCAAGTCTGGACCCCCAATGGGATGGATTGGCGTCGTGTTGTCGCTATGAATGTGTGGCTGACGCAGCAGTTTCGCTTTTGGGCGAGTACCCTATAACTTCACTCGTAACTGAGACAATCATGACCATCCAATCTAATTCTTGCTCATGACGCGACAGATACGTAGAATGCGTAATTAACAGAAAAAGCAATAAGGAGGGGATTGAGAGATTGCACTTCCAACAGTGACAAACTCTCAACTCAACGGCTAGAGATCGTCACGACCTTGATAGCCTCGTATGAGTTATTGATTCCCATTCAGGAGAAAACAACATCCATGTCGTCGATCTCTTGGTAACAAAATATGTCACGTATTCTAATCAGTCAACCCAAGCCACTGAGACATACAGTGTGTACGTATGTACGATCGCCATCTGCATTCATGGTTCCCGAGATCGCGCTTTGATACATGGTATTTTGTGGCTTCTGTTTCCAGCTTGTGGCAGTAGCCTCATCTGACGATCTCTCCCTAAATAGACAGTTCAGCAAAGAAGGGGGTTGTCAGTGCGTTTTCTTTCTTTTTTTTCTGTTTTATAACATTGCTTTTTCATATCACCAGCCGCTCAGCAGGGCTCTTGTGGCAAACCTGAGGCCAACAATGCTTGCTTTTTGTTGTTCGTCACCGCAATCTAACGGCGATGTGTTCATTCATGCTCAAGGAGGGGCCGAAAGCAGGTCAGATTCTCCTGAATCTTGGAAATTATAGATTTCGATCGGGGTTGTGTGAGATTGATGAATATTTCGCACGGAGCTTGGTACTTAGAACAAGTTTTGTTTAATACATGTAGGTTTTACTCATACATATAGGAATAGGGTAGGTTGAAGATAATAACTAAAAGAGTCTAGTTACTCTATAAACCATATACATAGTCAGGAAATACAAAGTTACAGCTTATGTCTCTAGTTCAAGACTGTAGAACTTTGTTGATCTATCTGTGATATAGTCACGTCTCTGTCGATAGTCCACATGAAGCATCCAAACTTGTGACACATCAACAAGCACCTACAAGCCCCGTTGGCTCAGTGGTAAAGCGTATCACTAGTAATAAACCACGACATGATAAGATCACTGGTTCGATTCCAGTACGGGGCAAACGTGTTTTCTTTTTTTGGCTTCTCAATTTGAGGAACGCATCAATAATAGTTCTACCATACTGCAGCTCGTATATTCTATAAGACTATATTTTAGCTTAAACTAACCCTAGGCTGCTCTGTGGATGAAGGATATAGGGCTAGAGCCTTGTGGATTTCATGGCATAGGTACTTGGTTGAGATGTAAGACAGCACTGAAGCGATAGGCCGCTATACAATAACATGAGATGAAGCTGATTGATCACATACTTAATCTGACTCTTTTGCATGGGTATTCACCACGTGCATTAATTATTGCAGCTGCTGAATGATCCAATATGTTCCAAGCTGTTGGGACAAGCCTTGATATTGGAACTCTATTACGAGATAGATATCTATGTATAACCGCCATTTCCGAACACTGTGCTGTAGAAGCCATCATACCAAAAGATCCAATCTCATCTCGGCATTTGAAGCATGCCGGATGGCTATCATCGGTTCGCTTAGACCTTCACCGGTCGCTCAAACTCTCAAAGGATCACCCGTCAGCCTCCAGACCGCGGAATACTCTTTTCAGCAAACACACCCATGTAAGTGATCTCGATATCATCTCCGCGGCCGCATCCTTCCCCCTCGTGTGAGCAAATATTGGGCATTCACCGGTTGGGCTGAGCGCCAATAGCCAGGGCTGATGCCCAAAAGGATCTGCAAGCTTTCGGTTCCAGAGACAAAAGAAAGGAAAGCCTTCGGATTTCCAAATTAGTTCTCACCGCGGCGGGTGTCTTATCTTGTTTGGTCGCTAGTCAGTTTCACCATCGTGATATTTGCTTTTCCCTCGTGGTCTAGAACACTCATCATCCCACACGAGATAATCTCGAGGTTGGGCAACAACTTGGGATTATTGTTAAGGCGGGTAACAAATTCGATTATTTCAGAGATTTGCCGGTAGTCGCGCGCGTAAACGACCAATGCGTAGGTTCTATGCTGAAAGACCAGCAGAGAAGGGGATAGGCAGTCCTAGACGTGCCTTTCGGGCTTCAATAGGGCACCGAGAGCCCGAGGGTAAGGTCCTTTCAGGAGACGCAGCAGGGAGACGTCCAGTTCTCACCATCAGCTGCAAGCTTGCTCAACCTTGATATGAAAATAATAGTTAGATGCCTCGGATCTCTGAATAGAGTATGTTCTGTATCCCGGTTCTTGAGAACAACTGTCACAATTCAAAAGACAGATGCAAAGATAGAGTCATATAGTTGAATTCAAACGCTTCAATGCTTCCTATGCTACCCTGCACACCATTTTTGGCAGAAGTCATCACAGACATATATCGTCTAGTAAACCTCGAGGACGTATCGTCCCTCTTCCTTGAGCTTCTCAATTTCCTTTCGAGGATCAATCCTCTTTCCAGCAGCCTTGGCCTCGTGAGCGATAGCCTCCTCGAGAACCTTGGTCACGTCAGGCACAGGCCAGGTAGGACCACAAAGGTAGAAGCTACCCTCGTCCTGGATGTAAGCCTTCGCAATATCCTTGAGAGTCTGGCGCATACGGTCCTGGATGTATATCTTCTGAGGCTGGTCACGAGAGAAGGCAGAACCGATAAGAGTGACGACGCCAGCAGCCAGATAGGCCTCCCATTCCTCACCATAAAGGTACTCCTCACGCTGGTGGCGAGAACCAAGGTACAGGAGGATGGAACCAATATCCTTGCCCTGAGCCTTCTGCATAGCGCGGTACTGAACAAAGGCACGGAAAGGAGCAAGACCCGTTCCAAGACCAGCCATGATGAGAGGAGCAGTGTCCTTGGTGGGAAGCTTCATGACGGAAGGCTTGACTGAAGCAGTGACCTTGGCACCAACTGGGAGACGGCTGAGGTAGCGGGTAGCATGTCCGTATCGGGTACGGCCACGAGGATCAACCCAGTCAACGACAACAATCATGAGGGAAACTGAGTTGGGAGTAACAGCCTGAGCCGAGGCAATAGAATACTCTCGGCGCTTGGCAGGGCTGACAATCTTGACGAGGTCATGGAAGCTTGGACGAGCTGACTTGAACTCCTCGAGAATGTCAACATAGGTAGCAGTATCGACCTCAGTGCGGCGCTTCAATTCCTCAGCACCAGCAGGGCTGGCGAGAGCCTCAAGCTTCTGCTTTTCAGTCTCATCGGTAGCAAACTCAGCAAGAGCCTCGTAGAAGCGCTTGGGAGGCTTGCCGAGAATATCGACATTCTGGACGAGAGCCTGGAAGACGGTACGGGTCTCAAGCAGAGCAGGATCCTCACGGGCAGGAACTTGAACGAGCTCGGCAGGGTTGAGGCCGTAGAACTCGATGAATTGGTTGACCTCTTCCTCGTCATTCTCGGCGTGGATACCCAAAGCTTCACCGATCTTGTACGTCAGACCAGAGTCGCCGAGATCGAACTCAATGTGGAAGATATTACGGTCGTAGTCCTGAGGAGTAAGGCGGCGGTTCTCCTTGACGGTGATGGTGGACGTCTTGACAGACAATTCGGGTCGCAGAACGTTCTTGGTGCCATATGCCTCCTTGAAAGCAAGAGACTTGGCAGCAGCCTGCCAGTCACGGAGCTCGAAAGTCTCCTCAGCCTCCTCCTTGTCGTGGATGACGAAGCTGTTGCTGTGGATGGTAGCAGGAAGATTGGGATCAACAAAGCCAGCATCAACCTCAGCCCAGGTGGAGGGAACCTCGAAATGGCGGAGGCAAAGGCCAACGGCATCCATTGATTCCTCCAAGGTAGGAGGGTGGCTTTCAGCGAGGATGTGCTTGGCGATATCCTCAGGGGTGTAGTCAGGAAGAGCAACCTTCAAGAAGGACAATTCGAGAAGCAGCTTGGAGAAGAGAGGATCCTTCTCGAAAGCAGGTGAGTAGGATGAGTCAAGAATGAAGAGCTCCGCAGCCTTCTCCTTAAGTCCCTTTCGAAAAGCAACGGGAAGCCGTTTCTCGACCTCGTCATCCTTGAAGTTGGAAAGCTTGACAATGACGTTGCCGCCCTCGACGAGACCCTTGAGAACATCAACCTCCTTAAGAATCTTCTCATCGCCGACGACAATAGTGTTGGCGTCGTCAATGTCGTAGGGAGCCTCAAGTGCCTTCTTGGAAGCTCGTAAGTCACTGCGAACGAGACCGCCTTGGGTGAGGTTGTCAAAGATCTCGTTGACATAAACGTTAGAGGTGGATTCCTTGGAGAGTAGGTTGCCAATAACGCTTGGAGAGTTAAGAGCAGATGAGTTATCGAGGTCCCAAAAAGTGAACTGCTGGGCCTGGACGAGAGAAGGCAGCTTCTTGGCCTCACCTTCGTTGCCAAAGATCTTGTGCAGAGTGTTGACCAGACCCTGAGGAGTGAAAGTCTGAGCAGGGGTGTACTTGATGTCAAGAACCTCAGGCTCGTTGTCAAATTTGCCAGAGAAAGTGACAGCAGTCAGGACATCACTGTAGAGAGCGGACTGGGTAGCCTCATCCTCAACAGCGAGCTCGTCCTTGACCTGGCCGAGGACGGCAATTGTGCGAGCAGAGGCAGGGATGGCCTTTATGAAAGCCTCCTCAATGAAAGGGCGGTATATTCGGACGTTGATGACACCAACCTTGGCGCCATCGGCGGAGATCTTGGCCAGAACCTCCTTGGCCACCTGCGACTCAACGCTGCCGAAAGCAACGAGGACAACGTCAGGGGTCTCGTGGCCGTGATACTCAAAGGGCTCATAGACAGTACCGAGTTCATCGTTAAAAAGTTTAAGAAGCTCGACAACCTTGCCGGCGGTGTCAAGACGAGTGTTGAGCTTGGCAGCTTCAGCAGAGAGCTTGCTGTATAGATCGGCAACACCGTTCTCGCTCAAAGCATCAACGACACGGAGGGTCTCGCGAGCGATGCGGACACCATCGTAAATGTGAAGAGTAGGAAGAAGAGTAGCCAGGAGAGTGGCAAAGATAGACATGTGCTGGGCCTCATAAGTGGAGGTGCTGGCAATAAGTCCAAGGCCGAGATCCTCAGCAAGGCGCAGAGCAGAGTCGTAGTTGGAGATCAGACCCTTGCTGTCAGAGTAGTCGAGAGCGGCGACATGGGCGACAAAGGGGCTGGAGACGCCATAGAGGAGAGAGAGCTGGTCGAGGGTTCCGCGCAGTTGCTGGAGGCTGCCTGAAGGCGCAACCAGGGACTGGGGGATGTGGCGCTTTGAGACATCGAAGTCGGGAGAGAAGATATAACCAAGGGCAAGAGCACCAGCGCCAATTCGAGTCTGGAGAGGCAGAACCTCAGTGGAGTATCCGTGAATGTTCTTCTCCTTCTTGGAAGCCCATTCCTTGAGCGCAATATCGAGATCGAAGGTCTCGGGAGAGAAGGAGAAGATCTTATCGGACAGCTTGTAGGCGATCTGCTGAACGAGCAGTTGGGCGGTCACGTATGTCGGGCCAGAGATGGATGATAGAGGGACCTGCTGACCGAAAGGGAGGCTGGATGACAACTTGGTGAAGTCTGCTGAGTTGGTCTTGGCCACAGGGGCCGACTCTTGGTGAGGCATCTTGAGGTTTTTGTTTTAGAGTCAATTGAAAGAGAGAACAGTCCCCCGCGGTTGACTTCTGACTGCAGAGTCAAAAAGATGGTCTACCGACTGAAACTCAAGTCGCTGGCTCTGAAGCGAGATGAGATACTTTCAGGGTGATGAAGACTGATGAAGGGAGTGAAGGAGAAGGGGCAGAGTCACTAAAGAAGAAGAAGAACCCTTCAAGAGGCGACTCAACGGAGTAACCGTAACGAAAGCCATGGCGCCGATTTGCTCTATTTTCCCCTGTCGCTGCCCTTGAATTGGACGGATCTTGCTCGGTCTTGAGAATTGTTGATGCTTCGACAGAATCACGCAATTGAACTAGGCCGACTTCGGAAAGGACTTTGATGTCGCAAGATGGGAAAGTGGCATGACAAAAAGGCCTGCGACAGCGTGAATGGAAGGTTCTGCCCTTGATCGGTCACTATTTAATTTCACTACCCCACATGTAAGTCTGTCCCTAATGGAGACA